GGAGGGAGGGAGGGGCGAAGGGAGGGAGGGAGGGGCGAAGGGAGGGATGTATGCATGCATGCATGCATGCCAGGGGTGGCAGCAGGGTGGGTGGTCCCGGGACCGGGGCGGGGCGAGGCGAGGCGAGGCGAGCTGAGCCGAGCGAGCCAGGCAGCCAGCCAGCCAGCCGAGCCTGGACGGTGGGGCAGGTACGTGTGGTCTGTGCGGAGCAGGGATCGGGCAATTCCCGGGTCCTTCCGCCCGCCTCGCCCGGGACGTCCCGGCTTCCCGCTCGGTGAGAGGCTGTCGTTACTGCTGTCTGGTTTCTCTCCGGGCTTTTCCGAGCTGGCGGCTCCAGCCTGAGCAACCCCTTACTTCCTCTCGCAACCGTGCCAAGCGTGCTGCCAGCTTTAGTGCTTCCTCGCTCCAGAGCTCCTCGCTGCCTTTGCCTGCCGGGATGCTCCCTCTCCCTAAGGACCCCAGCCTCGCCTTCCACGCCTGTTCCTGTCCCGCCGTGCCCCGTCCCTTCCCCAAATCCCAGCCGCTCAAACAGCCCTCTGCTGTCCCGCAGCCTTCCTCTGTCCCGTACGGGGTCTCCTCGCATCGCTCCAGCCGAGCAAAACGGCCTCTGCATCTATAGATGTTTTGCTTCTCTTGGTGTCATGCTGAGTTTCTCCTCTCTCACTGACTGCCATCTTCAATTTTTTCTCTTTCTGCCCCCACCAATCCCACTCCCTGACTCTTCTCTAGCCTGCCTATAACCTCTCCCTTTTGGCTTCAACCCTCCAAACTAGTTTTAATTCAGGTTTTGATGACAGAACCCCCCCATCATTAATATAATGGTTCACATTCCATCTGCATTCTCCTGACACTTAACTACTCTCTCTGATGCTTTCTTCCTGCTTCAAAGGTAAACTTTCAGTCTTTACATGCTTGTTCTCTCCATTCTTGTTGCACTTTCTTTGAAAGTCTTCTGTAGCAATTCAATGACAGTGCACCCCTCTGTGATGGATCTTAATTGTCTGCTGCTGTCTCCTTTCAGGTTCGCCCTGTCCCACACCACACAATTCACTCCCCTGTGAATGCTTGCAGTGCTGGCTCACGGATCTAGTCTTTTGTGTCTTTCGTGTCTTTCGTGGTAAGGACTACTTTCTAGCAATCAGATCGGATTTGACTACGGTATATCAAGCTTTTTCACAGACTTTTCCTCCTTTCTTGATTGTAGAGAGCTCACTACTGTCCATTACACAGCAGGTGATGGTCTAGGTGTTATATCCGAGCCTATTTATTTGAATTGTGTCCAAGTCTTGCCTCTGCCTTTTGCACAACAACAGTTCTAGGTTGTCTTCTCAGTCTCAGGGCAACCAGTGTGTTGAGTGCTGGCACAGCCTCCTGGATGTGGCAAGAGGTTCCTGAGGGGATGAGGATCATCTAAAACAATGCTGCCAAAGCCATCTTGTCACTTTCTTTCTCTGGCTAATTATTCCCTTTCTTGGTGCACACTAAAAGCCTTGGGCTGTGATTCGCTCCATCTGACAGCAGGCTTTTACCAGAGGCACCAAATCCAGCCTTTCTCCTTTGTTACTTTGTTTCTCCTCTGTTACTTTCTCCTTTGCAGCCTGAGGAGGGAGGGAGTCACCTGTGGATATGGATAAAACCAACTACAGGTTGCAGTCTTTCTTCTTTTCTCTGCTGCTTGCTACAGCAGTAATTTGGGGTGGCTGAACGTTGATCTCAAAGACTTCAGTTAGGTGACTCCTATAATCTCCCCACTCTTCTAATTTCTTTTTTTCCCCCACTGTCTTTTTTTTTTTTTTCCTTTATGCAGGCTTAAGAGGCTGATGGTATAAGGACAGTTACAATTTTTGACAATCATAAAAGGTGGGATTTTTTAAAAATAGAAGCTAGAACTATACATAAACAGCTAGCTCACACTGTAGTCCTTCCTAACAAAGGTTCTGCTATGTCTGGGAATGTAGTTAGGCTTTTGGCATTTTCCTCCAACACCTGACATCTGGATAAGTGGGATTCATTTTGTTGTTTTGGGGTTTTTTTTGCTGTGCACAACAAGCATGTGCCTAAGGAGTTAATAATTACTATAGCTGATTTTTAGGTAGTGTACAACCAGCTGTTTCTGCCCTGAGCTAGTGGTTTGCCCTAGTTACTCACTTTGCTGTTGCAAGGCTGACTGAAGTACAGTTCATTTGTGAAAGCATTCTTAAACTTATGTTCAAACAAAACTTTTTGTTACAAGCTCAGTACCCATACAGAGGCTCATACCACAGAACTTGCTGCTGTTGTTTTCTATTTTGATTCTTGCCTTTTCCCCCTGGAAGGGAAAACGCATGCCCAGAATCAATTGGAGACCATATCATAGCTGGAGTTGAAAGTCCACTGTAGCCAATGCTGGCAAAGTAAATATTAAGGTTGGGAAGGCCTGAGGAGGCAGCTAATGTGTCAGAAAAACCCAGTTTTCTTTCAAAACCAAATTGTCATTCCAGGCTTACAAAGGACACACAAATCTCCTGACCTGTCCCTTGAACTGAATTTAGCATAGGATGTGTTGCCTGCACCCAATTGCAAGCTTGAGGACTAGCATGTGTAATGTTCTGAGCCAGCTATAGGTCTGACAGACATGTCTTTCAAAATCTATAAAAACTTTAATGTTACTATTGAAGCCATTAGTCTTTCCTGATGGCAGAACTACAGTTCTATTGTTGTCTTTGCATTCTGGAGTGAAATTGAAAAATAATTCCCATATTGAAAGGAGACTGTTTTAATTGTTAAACTATTATCCTTGTTGGCAGATCAGTTGCTCCTACAGTGTGCTGTACTGTAATTTCTTACCTCAAGAAATCAGCTCCAGTTAAGAAATGGCCAAAGTCGAAAGGTTTGCTTTTCACGTTCCAAGTCTGGAGGAGCTTGCTGGGGGTGAGTTATGCAATGTGTACCTTTTTACGAACTTATAATGTACTCTTCAAACTTACATTAAAGCTCACACTAAAACTTTTCTACAGGCAGTACATGGAGAATTCCTGCTCTTAACACACTGCGATGTAAAGAACAGCACTATTTTTCTATATGCTATGATTTTTGTAGTGCGAACAATGACTCCTCCCCCAGGCCCCCATGATATTTAAGCACACAGACAGGCTCTCAAACCCTTTAAAACTGTCTGCTGCATTTGCAAATTTGTGCACGGGTTGTGAAATTTTGACAACTACAGAGCAAACTTCTGTACGGATACAGGATCATCTGCCCTCCTCTACCCTCCAGTATTTCTTTCTTTTTCAGGACTACTCAAAACACAGTTGGCAAGATGCAGTGTAGCATGGCAGATCCTCTTGCTTGAACATAGTTGGCTCCTCTTTTGATGATTGCCTTAGAACAGGGCTGCAGGAAACATCTTCTTTAGTTTGTTTCTTTCCAAAGCCTTCCCAAAATGTGCTCAGAGTAACAGAATGGTTGAAGTTGGAAGGGTCCAACCCAGTTGCTCATGACCTTTTTTCCTTGCACTAGTAGAAAGGTAGTCTCTCCCCTGCAGCAGGTCTACTAAAGGTTTTTATCTTTCAGATTGACCCTCAAGTTCAGTTTGCCACTTCCCCAAATCTGTGTCAGTTTGACGTTTCCATGCATTGAGAAAGTGTGATCCCAGGATTACCCTGGGTGGTTCTCAGTGCTTTTCTCACTCAGTCAGACTAGGGCAGTAGGACACAGCTGCTGTAGACCTGTGAGCTCTGGAGAAAATACCATGTACTTGCAGTAGAACAGCTCGAAAGAGTAGCAGAAAAATTTCATCATAAAGCAGAATTTTCCATTTTTTCCCCCTGAGGACCTCCTGTAAACTGTGAATTTTGTTGCTGTTCAGCTGTTGGGTATAATTTGAGGAATGCCCTTTTATTGTCCTTGTCCACTTACCAGAAGGTACTGAGATGTATTTAGAAATGTGCCAGGTACTTCTACTGACTGTTTTGGTCAACAGCTTTGTAAATCTGCTCTTGAGAAGTAAGTTATGGCTGAAATCCTAATTGAAGGAAACAAAGGCTCAGGAAAGTCTTCTGAGCAAATAAGGAACTGCCTGATTTGAGAACAGACTTGATCTTGTGTTCTTTAGTTTGAGAAATCTGTCAAAGCAGATCCCCAGGCATGAAAGAACCTGGACCTTTTGTCATAATATTTGAAGCAGTGTATGTGAAGACAATCCCACACTCAATTTAGGTTTGGAAGTTGTTTCCAAACAGTGCACTCACCTAATCCTCCCTGTTGTTTGCGTGACTTTACAGGTTCTGAGCCTAAAAACCACTGATATGAAGCAAAATGAAAATTTCAGATTTGGTTCATTATCACCAGCACCATTCATTATCTGTCTTGTACTGACAGTGGCACTTGACAGAAAATCTCCACAAGAGCATAAACACGATAGGCAGTATGCTGTGGCGGCAGAAATTTCCAGACAGCAGAGACAGTTTGAGCTTATAATCAAGCTATTGCAAACAGTCTGGTTAATGTATTTAAAGAACTGATTGTCACTTCATCTAAAACTTGCTTCCTCCTTTGCTCTCGCATCGTATTTGACTGTGATCATAATTGTCTGCTCTTTGAAACAAACCCACTATTGAATGTGATTTAAGTTTACCCATGTTACTTCACATTGTGTTGCTCCTAGTGCTACTAGGAGCAGTCAGTTATTATATTTCAATGAAAATGTTTTTAGAATACTTTAAATGAATTGATGTGGCAGACAACAATTATCTGAACAAACTTTTGCTCTTCTCCGAAGCTCTGATACATGAAACAAGTGCCTACAGACAATTAAATCAATGGAATTACTTAGGGTAAGCATAAGTAATGTATCTTGCTGAAA